TTGTTATTCCATGCTTGAACACATTTAGGGTTTAATAGATATTGCTTCATTGTAACATTTAATTGCTTCTTCATATTGATTCAAATTTTATAATGAAATACCTATATATTAAAATTTAACAATTATTTACCCTTATTATTCCATGCATCAAAATATTTATGGTTAATAGATATTGCTTCATTGTAACATTTAATTGCTTCTTCATATTGATTCAATTTTCTTAATGTATTACCTATAGATTAATATTTAACAATAAAATACCCTTGCCATTCCATGCATGAATAAATTTCTGGTTAATAGATATTATTTCATCATAACATTCGATTGCTTCTTCATATTAATTCAAATTGTCTAATGTAGCACCTATATATTAATATTTAACAATGACTTACCCTTGTTATACCATGCATCAAAATATTTAGGGTTAATAGATATTGCTTAATTGTAACATTTAATTGCTTCTTCATATTGATTCAAATTTCTTAATGTATTACCTATAGATTAATACTTAAAAATCAATTACCCTTGCCATTCCATGCATAAATATATTTCGGGTTAATAGATATTATTTCATCATAACATTCGATTGCTTCTTTATATTAATTCAAATCGTCTAATGTAATACCTATATATTAATATTTAACAATGACTTACCCTTGTTATACCATGCATCAAAATATTTATGGTTAATAGATATTGCTTCATTGTAACATTTAATTGCTTCTTCATATTGATTCAAATTTCTTAATGTATTACCTATAGATTAATATTTAACAATAAATTACCCTTGCAATTCCATACATCTTCCTAATTAGGGTTAATAGATATTGCTTCATTGTAACATTTAATTGCTTCTTCATATTGATTCAAATTTCTTAATGTATTACCTATAGATTAATACTTAAAAATCAATTACCCTTGCCATTCCATGCATAAATATATTTCGGGTTAATAGATATTATTTCATCATAACATTCGATTGCTTCTTCATAATAATTCAAATTGTCTAATGTAATACCTATATATATTAATATTTAACAATTACTTACCCTTGTTATACCATGCATCAAAATATTTAGGGTTAATAGATATTGCTTAATTGTAACATTTAATTGCTTCTTCATATTGATTCAAATTTCTTAATGTATTACCTATAGATTAATATTTAACAATCAATTACCCTTGCAATTCCATACATCTTCCTAATTAGGGTTAATAGATATTGCTTCATTGTAACATTTAATTGCTTCTTCATATTGATTCAAATTTTATAATGCAATACCTACATAATACTATTTAACAATTATTTACCCTTATTATACCAAGCTCCATTATGTTTAGGATTAATAGATATTGCTTCATTGTAACATTTAATTGCTTCTTCATATTGATTCAAATTTATTAACGTATGACCTGCAGATTAATACTTAACAATCAATTACCCTTGCCTTTCCATGCACCAATATATTTCGGGTTAATAGATATTATTTCATCATAACATTCGATTGCTTCTTTATATTAATTCAAATCGTCTAATGTAATACCTATATATTAATATTTAACAATGACTTACCCTTGTTATACCATGCATCAAAATATTTATGGTTAATAGATATTGCTTCATTGTAACATTTAATTGCTTCTTCATATTGATTCAAATTTCTTAAATTACCTTTATTATTCCATGCTTGAAAATATTTAGGGTTCATAGATACTGCTTCATTATAACATTTAATTGCTTCTTCATATTGATTCAAATTTTCTAATGAAATACCTAAATTAAGATTTTTCAAATTACCCTTGTTATTCAGTGCCTTAAAATATTAAGGGTTAATAGATAATGCTTCATCGTAACATTCAATTGCTACTTAATATTA